CTAGAGGTCTTAAGGATTCAAATAAGTTCATAAAACGCCATTGGAACAAGTTTGAAAAATTTCCAATTTTTTGAATTTTTGAAGATGTAAAATCGTAAAAATAGTCAATTTAATAAAAGTCGTAAAAACGCTTGAAATATGGTTTTCTAGACGTAAAATTACACGCTGAACACGATGCAACTAGTTAGAATACTCTACGATGCATAGTTTTTGAGATATTGAGTAATAAAGTTAAGAATAAGGCTAAAAGTATAAGTACTATATCCGATTTTGACAAAAAATCAACATTTTTTGATTCTTATGAAAAACTWGTACTATATGTAAAATTAACCGGAAAACACGCCTGGAAACATCGTTTTGACCTAGGACTCATAGTTTTTGAGATATAATTTTTTTTTTGAAAAAACTAAAAATGGCTCTGTACCCGGAACCATAACCCGGAGCGACTTCCGGTTTGCGCCAGTAAATAGACAATTTTAAGCTAATTCTAATGGTTTTTACCCCTTGGCTCTAAGTTCTATAGTTTCGTAGAAACTAGTAAAAATTTTGGAATTTTGTAAGTTGAATAGGATTACGATAAATCAAATAGATCAAACAAATCATATTAGAGAAACTCCTTTTTTTTTAAGTCCCACTTTTTACAATCGAGCTTTGGGACCCTTATAGTTTTCATTTAGAATCAAAATTAACACTTGCTAGTAGTTTTTGGTCGATCCAAAATTTCACAAATTTTGCTATTTTTCAAACCTTAGAAGTTATTCTAAAATTATAATATTAATTGAGAAGATTGAGAAAATTCACGAGATTCAAATGATGAACAACAGTCAACCCTCAAAAAAAAATTGGATGACATAAATTAATTCAAAATCTTGTTCTTCACTTGACCAAAAATTCTATAACTATGTAATTTTTTTCTTCAATTATAACCCTACCCTATGATATAAAACAAGTTGCATTGTACAAAATAAATTAGGGGTGGGTTTTTCAAACTAAAGATAACCCTATCGTGTCACCCCTCATACATCTCAGCAGGAAGCGTAGATTTTAAAAATATACAATGAGGTAGGTATTTTGTTTTTCCTAAGCGAGATACGAAAATGACCATCGCCAAAGTCAAATTTGACTTAACCATTCGATAGAACCTTTTATTGCGCATCTTTTTTGACATACTTCATTTTTACGTGCGACGCCTACTTTTCGAGATATTCATGTTCAAAATTTACCGATTTAAATTGCGCGCTTTATTGCAATTTCTTAAGGTTGGTAATAATCGGCATACATACACWCACGCGTGAATTTGTAGTTGCATAAGRTTGAAGTGTCGGTAAAATAGGTTTCTGCAGTGATTATTCAGTGTTTCGCCCAGATGTCGCGACGTGTAACTGTGCATTCCAACTAGTTTTGAAAAAACTTAGTAGGGGAAGGTGGGGCATTTTTTTTTTAATTACAAGAAATTATTTCTGGTTTTTAATTAATAACATCTTGCATATGAGGCGATTCTAATCCGTAATCATATGTTCGTATAATTTCAAATTGTCGAAAATTTAAGGTTTTAGCATACTTTAGTTATAGAATTTTCTTCAAAAATACACATTTTTTTTAAATAGTAACAATAATTAATGGCTATTTAAAAATAAAATTCAAAATCACAGTTCTTAAAATCAAGAGTGATTTGAATTTTTTTTCAAATTAAATCAAATTATTTTAACATTTAAAAACTCAAAAAAAATGTTCAACTTAATCAAAATTTTGAATTTTAGGCAAAATAATCTCAAATCAGGGTCAAAAACAAAAGAAATTTTCACAGTACCTTCATGACGTTTTTAA